TCATTTGAAGTTATCATCCAATTATAATTTATCGCTGGATGAACGATTCAGAAGCTTTCATATGTTTAGTACTATTCCTGTCCATGCTGGAATATTATATTGGGTCCTCTAATCCACCGTTTTACAATATGATGCATTGTTTGTACAATTTTTAAACGCGTACACCAACACATTGTGACTGGTTAAAATAGTAAACAATAGATATCTAACAAATTGTGTATGGTTTCTATATATATTTTTATTGAAATAACTTCCAATCTTTTAAATTCATTAAAAGAGAAATGCCAATTCCTATCTTATTTTGTCTACATTAATTTCATTCATTCATTATTGTATAAATATGACTTGTGTAATATATATGTAGGACTCGGAGGTGCGATGGGGATGCTGAGGTGCGATGGGGACGCTGAGGTGCGATGGTCACGCTGAAGTGCAATGGTTCGTTCGTTCATATGCGATGGTCTATAATTCGCGTGATGGCTAGTTTGAAATCTACAAATGTTCAAATATTAAGAGAAGTGTTTTTTTTCAAATAGTTACTATATAAATTTGCATTCGTTTTTGTCTATGTATGTGCTTAGTTACATTTGCCTACTAAATTTGAGATCAATCTCTTTGATTTTCTGCATGTGGACATAATTCTGCGTTTTATCTTGGTTCCTCTCATGAATTTCTCGTTTACCGTAATATTATAATACGAAGAGTCTGTCTGCAGACCAGTGTGTATTAAAACAATTCCACGCTTCATCGTACGTGAAAAAGAATCATTAGTTGATTCCGAACAAAAATCCACCCCAGAAGTTAACTTTCCCCTTTCTACATATCACTCCTCGTTTTCCGCAGTATTAAAAAGTTTTAAGCCCCTTAATAACTTTAAAACCCGAAAACAAAACTTCTAACAGAGAAATGGAATTCTACATCGACATGAAAAACATTGAAAATATAGTTTATGTAGTCCATCGCACTTCGGCGTAGCTATCAACAAGATAGCGTCACAAAGCCACCATCGCACTTCAGCGTGATCAAAACACACTTCAGCGTCAAAACATTGTGTGACCATCGCGGTTCGGAGTACCATCGCGGATCAGAGTGCTACTCATATGTAATAAACAGACTGGTAAACAAGTTATTGAAATGAAAAGTCAACAAATATTGTTGTAAAAAGTAGCAAAACTATTATGTGGAGGCCTATCCATCCCTTGGAAAATGGATGTTAAATAATTTACAATGTACAAAATAAATTGTTGAATTAGATTATCGCCAATTCAAATCATAAATGCCTATAGATCTACTTATAAACAATAAACATGGAAACGCTGTTTCTAAGAGTTCTGTCCATTAGTATTATAACAATTATGTGCTTCCCTGAGAAATGAAATTTAAATTGAATGGCAATGCAAATGTATTCGATTGTAAAAAGTTTGACGAGGTTAAACAAATGATGGCATTTGAATGTTCCTTGCTTAAATATGTATGGATTACTTGCATTTTTGCTATGGTCATGTAAATTATTTGAACTTAAATCCTGGTACATATATTTATACCTTTCAAGCAAAAGGCGACATATTTTAATACCCTTTGGAAGGTCTTATTATAATTAAAAGTTGGGAACTTGCCTCGAAAAGTAAAGTTTTTTCCCTCGTTAGTTTTCTAATGGTAGCTTGTTCGCCTCTAGCGCTGTTGAAATTAGGCTTGTTTCCTTACTATCCATTTTTTTCTTCTTCGAAAATAGCTAGGAATCAAAGTAAAAGTAAAGATAATTTGGCTCTGAGTTCGAATAAAGTATTCAAAAAGATTGTAATATCATCAAATTCCCGATATGGGATAAAAACTTTAAACAATACGTCTGAGGATGCCAATCTTGTCTTAAGTTATATTCATTTTCATTAACATGGTGTCCTCCTTTAATAATTTCACACGGTATCGTTTTCTACCTATCATGATATGATAGACATGATTTAAATCAATGCATTTCAACTGGTGCATTATTAGAATTGGCGGGAACGATTTGCTTTAGTTAAAAGTAATCATAGTCAAGATAACAGTATTAGTATTACTTGGCGAAACAAATATAAAGAAGTTGTTTAATTGAACACAGGAGAACAAATGAAAATTTGTAATGACTGTCGCAGTGTAGGGGACATGAATTCATTTATATATATTGACAGTACTTAAAAACCTTTAACATATTTATGATAGGAAACTGTATAAAATTTTAGTTATGCTCATTATATTCCGCACATATAGTGTGTTCAAGTGCGAATGTGTTGTTCAATAGTCCTACTGACACAACCCGAATACTGTTACAGTATTGAATTTTAAAACTACTGTTCAATTTAAGCCAACAGATGTTTACCTCTGTTAAACTGTCATAAATTCTTTCAAAAGACACAAAAGTCCAAACAAAACATGTGGGAATCGCACAAACTCTAAATGAAGCCTAACCGGATGCGTCGATAGAGTAAGCGTCGAATGCTATGTATGCATGCAATACCGGTCATACGATCCTCATTTGAAGTAAAGAATTGTTTTGACTGTTCTATTGGCATCATAGGAGTTTAATGCTGTCATATAAACGGTATTATAAAAAAAACCAGGTCGCCTTTTTATGTTATTGGACTATCCAAAGACAAATCAAAGAAAAAAACCCCATGTATAGATTGTCGTAGCCTTATTTGGCACAGTGTTTTTTTGTTTTTTCTATACTCTTCCAATTTGTATTTGGTTTGACCTTTCAACTGTTTTGATTCGAGCGTCACTGACTTAATGATGTTCGCTACTCTGTTTCAAAATAACAAGCTTTTTAAAAGTCATTTATAAATTGATAGTATATAAATAAAGGAACTAAAAAAGCAGGAAAAAATGAAGGGTCCATGTGCTTGTTTTAGAATAAGCCATTGAAAATTTGGCGGGAAATGATTCTCTCTAGATTTTCATGCATTTAACATTGGCACCTTTTTTCTTTCAAAAACTATGAAAAAATAACAAGGATTTTATAAGATTTTCAAATATGGCTTTGAAAATTATATGTTATAATATTATGAAAAGAAAAGTAGGGGTAAGCGGGCAAAATTTTTAATGGCACTACAGGGATAAAACCAGAGGATTCCGAATATCTGGCAAAAATCCAGAAACAGGAGTAGCGAACATCCTTAATATCATACCTCATCTCCTTATTTTTATAAAGTAAACAAAAATGCCTGGCGTTCAAAGTTATAAGGCTTGTATCTTGATGAGTTTTGTTTTTAAATCAGTGCATTAAAATCTATTTCAGAAGATGTTATTCCATTATCTTCTCTTTCTTGGACTATTAAAATCTTAACAAAATGCACATCAATTATAAAAAATAAAGAAACATTAATTCAAGGTTGTCCTACAAAAAGGAATAACCTATAATCGAAGAGGCAATGTTCTTTTTCATATCAAATACATTCATATTTTCTAGTAATACCAAAATATAAATACAGATAAGTAGGTCGCACTTACGTTAAGTTATTGTTTAATAGAGACAAGGGCCTGTCCATCTTTTTTTATCATAATTATAGATCTGAACCCAATGTTTTTAAAGGTAAAACAAGCTCCCGATCGGCTTTTTTCTACGGGGTTACCTTTGTCACCGTGTTACGAATTATTATTGCAGATTTTTATGCAACTGGAAATTCAGTCATTTGGTTCATTTTACACTGAGTTTGCTTATAGATATATGTCACTGGACGTAAGTAACTTAAGCAGGCTGGCTTTAATATGTTTAAGTATGAACGTTCCTGATGAAGGGTTATCCAGAAAAGCTTTTCTGAAGAAATAAAAATTTAATTATATATGGTTTATCCATTAAATCGATCTTTGTCCTGTTGTTGACTTGACGATCGATTTTTTTTCACAACCGCAATAAATTCATTTAAAACATGCATCTGGAATACAATCTCCTACTTAACATAACTGCTTCACTATGTGCACTTTATGCATTATCTATAAATAAAAGACGCTAAGTGTTCTATATTTCAGTCCCATGTAAAATTTCTTCGGGATATTATTGTTTTTTCTTGGTCAACGTTTAAACTTTGATAAATGTCACAGTCTATTATAGATGCTATCAGCCCAGTAGTCAGTACTTAGATACTGATATGATTTATAACTTACTTTTCTAAAATTCTCCGTTTATAATTTTTTTACATGTAATTATAAAGAAACTAAGTTTTCAACTCCTTCAGGCAAAGTCGACCTTGGATGGATTTGAATATATTTTTAGGTAATTTTTGCTAATACAGCTCTCCAACTGTTTCGGTTCGTCTACATTTGTACATCCTTGGCTTTCAAATATTCGGCTTTGAGCGTTCCTGGTGAAGGTAAATCCAGAACAGGCTTCTGACGCATACAATTTATACCTAGTTGTTTTCATTTTTTAACAGCACAGGGTCGATACCTATGCTGGTGGACTTACAGCCCCCGAGTGTATCATGAGCTCAGTAGTCAGTACTTAGGTACTGACATGATTTATAACCAACCTTCAAATACTGTCTGTTTATACATTTGGAAATTATAAAGAAATCACGGTTTCAACTCCCTCAGGCACAGTTGAGCTTAGATTGATTTGAATATATTTTTATGTCCTTTTCGGTCATACAGCTTTTCAACTGTTCGGTTCGTATACGCCCTTGGCTTTCAAATATTTGTCTTTGAGATTTCCTGATGAAGGTATATCAAGAAAAGCGCGTCGCTTGCATGTAATTGTTGTTTTTATGTTTTGCTATTATAAATCATATATAGCGACATCTTACTCAATAACACATGTGTACAATGTATTCAAAGCTTTACCTTTTTGTGCATTGAATACATTAATTTTTGAATTGCATACTTGACATATACAACTTGTTAACAGTTATTTATTTTGCAAAACGTACGAGTAAACATGTACGTTAGATATTTAGCAGAAAAGACCGTCTGAGTTCTTCATCTTTGATTTTAATTTTCAAGAAGCAACTGATCTATGCTTCTGCAGAATATAACGCTTCATAAATTTATAATAAAACAGGAGCATGTTAATAATTCGGAGAAGCCGAGTTCACGTTCGGCTTTACATTCGGTTTTACATGTTGCCTTAATTACTGGGGGTGATCTCAGGTGCTCCGGAAGGGTAAGCAGATTCTGCTCCACATGTGGCACCCGTCGTGTTGCTCACGTTAGTACAAACCAGGTGATAAATCTAGTTCGGTAAGTCACATTCGGGGATTCATTCTGAGACAAAAAAAAAAATTAGAAACAAAATATACCTACCATGATTGTTATTCTTTTTAGGTCATATTGCCCCTCCTGCATTAATGAAGTAAATGAGTTCCTGTTGAAGAGTAATTTTCTATTCTTTCTTTTACACACGAACAAAGTAGATGCAAAGAGAACCAATATGACACAACAACAAAGGCCCACATCTTAAACAAGTGGTAATAGATTTAAATATATCTTTTACATCAATATGTGCGATATAAATAGCATCAGTTTTGTTTTTAAAGATGTGCGATATACAAGTTACATCCGGGTTAATATGCATGGTCATATTTACCCAAAAACAATAAAAAGGTAAGTATTTTCTTTTCTATTTATATTTATTGTAACCATGCATTCAGTTATCGGTCACTATCAAAATAAGGGTTTTGTTTTCTATAAGAAATATCAATATAACTCTTTTTTTTTTATAAATATTTTACAACATTACAAAATCAAGGTCAAACTTATGGGTCAACATTCTAAAAAATATTTCCAAAGCATTTTTTAATTTGATGGAAGAATAGTTACCATATTTTTGGAACAAAAGATTGACGGCAAAATGCGAGCCTACACAAATATGCACATTAGAATGTGTCAGAGAAGATTCGTTGCAATTTTATTAAAAGACACATCAAGAATATAGAAGACAACAAAATACTTTATAAAATATCATATTAAAGATATCTACAAATATCTAGCTTACATATTTAAACAATGCAACAAAAAGAGATGTGGAGTAAATGTCAATGAGATAGCAATACAACGCCAAGATTAATTAAATGACATGCTTCAACAATAGACGAGGTCTTTACAATTATACTTTTCCCCTGATATTTATCTGAAAAGCTCTGACAGATATAACGAGGGGGGATGACTCAGTTACCTGTATATTGTAAGGGAGTGTCCCTTTTTATAAGTGCTGTGAATAAATTTAACAGATGCAATAAGTTATTTTCATTTACACAGTATAAGATTTGTTAAAGTATGTTGTAGTTGATGAGCAAAGTTAAGACTATCAATTAACAGAAAATGTTTTGTAGGGACATGAAATATTGTTATGACGTAATTCAATTGTTGTTAAGTTAAAAAAAGCTAGACTTTTTCGGCGACATTATTTCAAAATTCAAATTGCTTAGTACAATTCATTATTAACACAAATACAATTGTACACCTTTAAATCATCGGCAATTCAGAAATGTAAACAGGGACAACTTGATTGAATGTAAAATAAAGGAGATATGGTATGATTGCCAATGAGAAAACAACACAAAGAGACCAATCGACAAATAATTGAGCAAGCAATGGCCTTCAACCATGTGAAAAATCCCTACCGGAATGGGATGTTGTAAAGGCGACAGTTCACAAGAGACAACAAAGTTTCTTATGTTTAAATAACTTCAATACAATAAACTGATATGATGTCTGACCGTAAATAAACTAGACAATCAGGGCGTTTTATACAAGCGATGCAGTAACTACTGACTCCTCTGAGCAGTTTTTGGAAAAGTTCTTGTTTCTCAACCTTTTGCTATTATGTACAGTTATTTGTCATTTCTTCGTTGTACTTTATCAATGTTTAGTCCGGTTTTCTTCGACATCTAGTTTTTGAATCCTCTTAATTATAAAAATGAAGATGTGGTATGATTGCCAATGAGACAAGTCTCCACAAGAGACCAAATGACACAGAAATTAACAAACTATAGGTCACCGAACGGCCTTCCACAATGAGCAAAGCCCATACCGCATAGTCAGCTATAAAAGGCCCCGAAATGACCTATGTAAAACAATTCAAACGAGAAAACTAACGGCCTAATTTATGTCAAAAATAATGAACGAAAACAGATATGTAAAGCAGCAACATGTTTCTCTCTCTGTTAACATAGAGTCCATTATCTCGCTAATGTATGTAAGACCAGTTTCACAATTTGATACACGAGACGTCCGTTTCGTCGTCATTGGACTCATAAGTTGTGACCAAATCAAAACAAGTAGAAAGCAAAATAAAATATACAGTTGAAGAGCATTGAACAACAAACATTCCGAACAGTTGTGCAAAATACGGCTCATGGCGTTTATGATTTGAGCTGAATAACTGACGTGTTTCGAATAGTTCAACACATTTTATATACAGTTAATTAACAGTTATTTATTAATAGTGAAATAATGATTTTCTATAATATTTGTTATTTTCATTTAGTTTTAATTTTTGTGAATTAAACCCTTATACTCTCAGATCAAAGTTCTATATATTTGACATTAAAAACAAATTTAAACAATAACCAATACGATAAATTGAATTAAACTTCGCTATTTTCTTTTTTGTTACCATGGCTTTGTCAGTTTATTTTTGACTTGTGAGATTGAATGTCCCTTTGTTATCTTTCGCCTCTAATTTGCAGTAAGTTTTGTTGAACTATTAAAAAACCTGATACATTAAAGTCTAAGATAATTATTCGATATGATTGTTTCTTCTGTTTTTAGAACATATCTTATATAGATATAACATTCGAAGCTTAACAGCAAGGTATCATCAGAACATCAAAATATATAATATAAAACAGACAGAATTGCAAGCCTTCATTTTATATTTTATTTGACTGCTTTTTGTTTGAATAATGAGTGAAGGGTAAATATTTGGTTAATACATCACAATACAATAACCGAGAAGAAATAATTATCAGTGATTTAATCCACAGTAACTATTTCTGTGCAGTGAGCATATCTATGTACGCTTATCCAAATTAGTTCATAGCTATTGACCATATTCGAATTATAACCCACCTAATTTTTCACTAATTGTACTGCATTTTTGCTGTGCATATTAACGCATTGGTAGAACTGGCAGAAATGGGAATGTTACATATGTCAGTTATGCGACATTTCTACAAATGACATTGTAAATTCAGCAACATTAGCGATGTTTTTTTTATTTTTGCAAACATTGCGACGAGATAGGTTTCGCCAACATAAAAAAATGCATTTTAATATTTGATAGCGTAATTTGTATGCAACATGCCCGGATTGCACACACAGAGTTCTGAATTTGTAGTATATATTACTTATAATTTTTCAATGACACTAATATAACTTTCAAAGGATCGACTACAAATTCAAAGATCCATATAATGGTTTTTAACTGCCTCCGTACTTAAAAGATAAATCATTATTCTGCAGTAAGAGTTACTATAGAAAACAAATGAATTTGTTTAAAAGGCCAAAAGATGATTTAATGTTGTTAACGAATTACAGACGATACCTTTTTTTTGGGGAAAATTAAGGACAATGTTGACTGCTATACCCTAAATTTTAACATTTTTACCTATTATGTCTGTTTGTTTTGCTCACACATTGTTGTCAACATAATGGAATTCTATGCAACTGTCGTACAAGTAAGAGGTTAAGCAAGCTATAAACATGATGAAACCAGGTTTAATCCACCATTTTCTACATAAGGACATGCTTGTATCAAGTAAGGAATATGAGAGTTGTTTTCCATTTGTCTGATGTGTTTGAGCTTTTGATTTTGCCATTTGATAAAGGACTTTCCGTTTTTAATTTTCCTTGGAGTTCGATTTTTTGTTATTTTAAACAAAAATGACCTAGATTTAGATATATCTTTTACATCAATATGTGCAGTATAAATAGCATTCAGTTGGTTTTTTTTCAAGTGCGATATAAAAGTTACTTCCGGGTTAGTATGCATTGTCATGTCCACAAAGAAACAATAAAAAGGTAAGTCTTTTCTTTTCTATTTATATCTATTGTAACCATGCAATCAGTTATCGGTCATATCAAGGTAAGGGTTTTGTTTTTATTGCTATTTCTATTAAAAATGTCAGTATGACACTTTTTACAACTTTACTAAAATCAAGGTCAAACTTATGGGTCAACAGTTTTTAATCATCTGATGGAAGAATAGTTACAATATTTTTGGAACAAAAGATTGACGGTAAATGTGAGCCTACAAAAAAGTGAACATTTAAATGTTCTAGACTTAAATTTGGGCATACTTAATCTCTTGATGATGATTTTGGATAAGGTATTCATAAGAACATAATAGAAATAGATGCAATTCGTTTCAATTTCATTAGAAGACACATCCAGAATATAGAAGTCAACAGAATATTTTAGTGTTTTATGTACTATTGTTTGTGTGTTTGTCTTTCTTTTTTAGCCTTGGCGTTGTCAGATTATTTTCGACTTATGAGTTTGAATGTCCCTCTGGTATCTTTTGCCTTTCTTTTATAAAATATTATATTGAATATATCTACAAATATCCAGCTTAGCAGCTACATATTTAAACAATGCAATAAAAAGAGATGTAAGTAATTGTCAATGAGATAGCAATACAACGCCAAGAATAATTAAATGGCATGCAGTCTTTAACAATAGACTAGGTCTTCACAATTATACTTGTCCCCTGACATTTATCTGAAAGGTCCGTCATATATAACGAAGGGGATGACTCAGTTACCTGTGTGTTGTAAGGGAGTGCCCCTTTTGATAAATGCTGTGAATAAATTTAACAGATGCAATTAAATATTTACATTTACACAATATAAGAATTAGTAAAGTATGTTGTAGTTGATAAGCAAAGCAAACTAACAATTAGCATAAAATGTTGTGTAGGGACATTAAATATTATTATGACTATTGAACAGCGGTATACTACTGTTGCCTTTATTTAATTGTTGTAAATGTATTTTATAATTAAAGTTTTTAGTACAATACATTATCAACACAAATATAATTGTACACCTTTAAATCATCGGCATTTTAGAAATGTAAACAGAGACAACTTGATTGAATGTAAAATAAACAAGATATGGTATGATTGCCAATGAGAAAACAACCCATAGAGACCAATTGACAAATATATGAGCAAGCTATGGCCCTCAACAATGCGAAAAATCCCTACCGGAAAGGAATATTGTAAAGGCGACAGTTAACAAGCGAAAACAGAGTTTCTTATGTTTAAGAAACTTCAATACAATAAACTGATATGATGTCTGACCGTAAATAAACTATACAAACACGGCATTTTAGACAAGAGAAGCAGTAACTGCTGACTCCTCTGTGCAGGTTCTTGGAAAAGTTCTTGTTACTCAACATTTTTCTATTATGCACAGTTGTTTGTTATTTCTTCGTTATACTGTTATCAATGTTTAGTCCGGTTTTCTTCGACATCTTGTTTTTGATTCCCCTTAAGTATGTTTCTCTCTCTGTTAACACAGAGTCCATTATGCTCGCTTATGTATGTAAGATCAGTCTCACAATTTGATACATAAGACGTCCCTTTCGTCGTCATTGGACTCATAAGTGGCGACCAAATTAAAACAGGTAGAAATAAGTTGTAGAGCATTGAACAACAAATATTCCGAACAGTTGTGCAAAATACGGCTCATGGCGTTTATGATTTGAGCTGAATAACTAACGTGTTTCGAATAGTTCAGCACATTTTATATACAGTAAATTGACAGCAGTCATTGATATATTATTTCTCTAAATTTCCCATTTTGTAAAAAATTAAACAATAAACAATACGACAAATTGAATTATAATTCGCTATTTCCTTTTTTTTTGCCATGGCGTTGTCAGTTTGTTTTTGACTTGTGAGATTGAATGTCCCTTTGGTGTCTTTCGCCTCTAATTTGCAGTTAGTTTTGTTGAACTATTTAAAAAAAAACTGATACATTCAAGTCCGATACAATTATTGGACATAATTGTTTCTTCCGTTTTTAGAACATAACTTATAGATATAACATTCTAAGTTAAACAGCAAGGTATGATCAGAACATCAGACAATATAATATAAAACAGGTTAAATTACAATCCTTCATTTTATATTTTATTTGACTGATTTTTTTGTTTGAATACTGATAACAATTTATTCTATTTGAATGGAAAACTATTCTTGAACAACCTTGGCAAACAGGTTTCTAAACAGAACACATTTATTTAAAAACCAGTTGTTGGCATGACACGGGTTATGTTCTTCTCATATATGTTATGATGGTATGATACTAAACCCCTAACGGGAAGGATTGTGCCTGATATTCATATGATGAAGACATAATCTTTCAATCAGTTTAATTGAAGTCTGGAGCTGGCATGTCAGTTAACTGCTAGTAGTCTGTTGTTATTTATGTATTATTGTCATTTTGTTTATTTTCTTTGGTTACATCTTCTGACATCAGACTCGGACTTCTCTTGAACTGAATTTTAATGTGCGTAGTGTTATGCGTTTACTTTTCTACATTGGCTAGAGGTATAGGGGGAGGGTTGAGATCTCATAAACATGTTTAACCCCGCCGCATTTTTGCGCTTGTCCCAAGTCAGGAGCCTCTAGCCTTTGTTAGTCTTGTATTATTTTTACTTTTAGTTTCTTGTGTACAATTTGGAGTTTAGTATGGTGTTCATTATCACTGAACTAGTATATATATTTGTTTAGGGGCCAGCTGAAGGACGCCTCCGGGTGCGGGAATTTCTCGCTGCATTGAAGACCTGTTGGTGGCCTTCTGCTGTTGTCTCTTCTGTGGTCGGGTTGTTGTCTCTTTGACACATTCCCCATTTCCATTCTCAATTTTATCATTGCGATAAATCCCTAGAATCCTAATATGTCTTTAGAACAGAAAGTATACAGAAGCGTTGTCAGATACTTGTAAGCGAATAAGATTGCATTTGCTACCCGTCATGTATGTTGTCTATATATAATCATCCGTAAGTATACACAGATAAGTATAGTATGACAGTTTTTGGAGGGATTGTGAAACTCAATCTTTAGTTCTCCATGTAGTGTTTTGTGAACCTATTCTTCTGTACGTCGTTTTTTTGTTGTTTGCATGGTGTTTGTCAGTTTTTGCGACTTTGAGTCTTAAATATTCCCTTCGTACCCTCCATCTGTGTTTTGAATGCGTACATTAAACATTACGTTTATGCAAACCAGGATTATTCAGGCTGTTTTTATTCTCTATTTCACGGAACGGCCCAATTTTGATTTGATGTGTCATTCATTCGAAATTTGTGTAATTGATATTTCTGCAAATGATAATGATGATGATGATGATGATGATGATGATGATGATGATGATGATGATGATGATGATGATGATGATGATGATGATGATGAATGTTTAATGTCTAGCGTCCAATTAAATGCAAACTCAGGACGAGAACGTGTTAAGGTTAATATGAATATTAAGCCTGTTTTGTACTAGACCGACACGATGAACCAGAAATGACATGTCTGGACTACAATACCTTACAATCCTAATCAGTTGTAAAGTCATATAATGGTTCTTGATAATAACTTCCTTTCAAAACATTAATCAGCATTCTGCATTTAAAGCTCATAATTTCATTTCATTGATATGATCAAAAGTGCCTATATATGTTTAGAACGAAATGTCGATACTTAAGACAGAATTAAACTCAAACAAAGAAGACCTACAATTGTTTTGGCTATTCTGTTAAAGGTGCTCCACATGTAAAAAATGTGGGTTTTAGCGCAAATGACGTAAGTAATTCCAGAGAAAGCTTCTTACCCACCAAATTTCCTTTCTTTTACGCAGGAACCAAGTAGATGAATGAAGAACATATATGACACAGGAACTACAAATTCAACACACAAGTTAACAGATTTTGAATGTATAAATGACATTGATATGTGGGATTAAAATAGAATTTGTTTTCTAAAAAGGAGTGTAAAACTCCTTTGATAAAAAGGTTATTTCCGGGTCATTTTTCATGGTCAAATAAAACTAAATGCAATAAAAAGGTAAGTGATTTCTATTTCTATTGTTCAGCATGCATTAAGTTTATAATGGTAGTGTAAACTTTTTACATTTATATGAATTATGCATCAAGTCATAAAAATAACAATTAAAACATATAATGAAAGTTTGATAATATTTAGGTCGATCGATATCATGGGTCCAGAATATAAACTAGATTTCTCATTGATATTTATGATACAATGTTTCATCTTATAGCTAGCTAAACCTCTCACTTGTATGACAGTCACAGAAAAAAAGTTTCTCTAAATGATAAATTTTGATATCTTCTACATACTTTTTTTTTTTATCGTGATTAAATAAATAACAACGTTTTCAAGACTGTCGATGCAGAGTTATCTTATATTACTTAAGTCTATTTCATTGCCTCCTATATTAGAAAGACAAGATAAATATTGTTTTGAAAACACGGAGAATACACGGAGAATACACAGTTTCAGAATGGTTTATGCTTCTTATCAAACTTAATGTTTTGTGTAGTGATTTATTGAATTGTTTTATTTATCATTTTTTTTTCGCTTTTTCATAGTGCCAGGGTGTTGTCTGTTTTTCTTGTTATCTTTAATTTCCCTTTGGGTTGATCTCCCTTCTCTAATGTAAAATATCATTTACACTTTTATAATTAAAATGTTAGATGTAATATCCTTGTTACAAGTAATGAATCAAGAAAAGGCTTAAGGTTATCACAAAATGTATGGTAGGGATTAAAGGTAGGTCAATTTAAAAAGTATACAATCGTATCATATAGATAAACGAATATGTATCTGGAGATATACATTAACGAATATGTATCTGAAGATATACATTAACGAATATGTATCTGGAGATATACATTAACGAATATGTATCTGGAGATCTTTATTTTATGTATTAGAAAAAAAAAAAAAAATAACAAAAATACCGAACTCTAAGGAAAATTCAAAACCGAAAGTCCTTTATCAAATGGCAAAATTAAAAGCTCCAACACATCAAACGAATGGAAAACAACTGTCATATTCAAAGATGCACCTTGCACAGCTCGAATGGGTGTATCATTTTTACACCAAGATATTTTTGTCAAGGTAGTGCAGAATGATAGTGTTCAATAATTTAGGAGGGAGCTCTTTCAGCGATTTGATCAAATGTTATTGAAGAGCATGTAAAATGCAGGGTATTCAATTCCATTTAACGACATCTTGGTGTAAAAGAATTTATTATAAAAAAAAGTTAAGCACATTTTGTCTAGATCGGCGATGGCGGTGTTTTGCAAAAAATGAGGATTTAATCATTGAGTGACGCAGCCTTATGAAATAAAATTGATCTGGGACAATGGCTCGATATCAGTACACAATCATCCAATGAATTTAACAAAATAGACATGCAAAGCATGTCTGTCTATGTGTCTACAATAAGTAAAAAAACACGCCAATTGTACTTTTCATGTCTGGTTCTATGACTATAATACATTTGCCTTTAATGTTATAAAAAAATGAATGATAAACAATGTCAATAGAGTGGGTGGCGCATATTCGCCGTGGACACATTTTCGCCGTTTTTGGAATTTTTTTTTGTAAATTTCGTGTGCCTTTACCCAATACTTGCCTAAATAGATGCTAAACACTGTTTGTAATGTTCGAACTGTTGATATTCCTATTTACCCCATTTCCAATGTTATTCGCACATATAAAGAAATATGCAGGTGTTTTTTAACGATTTTGGTAATTATGTAAGATTTATATGGCACGCATGCGCAGTCATAAAGTAAATATTTGTTAGAAAAATCGTATAGGAATGGTCTCTCAAGCTAATTCATGTAATTGCAAACAATTGTTTTTATGATATGCAAGGATAATGAGGATGGTCATATCATACATTGCGGCGAAAATGAGTCCCCCATGGTACAAGAGCAACTTGATTTCCTCTTGAGCTTGCGTTCATTTTAAAAACATTTAAACAATGTTTTGAAGAGAATTCCTTTATCAAACATTTTTTTCATATAGTAAACTTTCTGAAACCTACATAAAAAGTTTCAAATATTCGAATGTAAATCGGATGTAGGTAGAAATGAACGAATTTTGCGGCGAATATGCGTCACCCACTCTACATAGATTTTCTTAATGAGTAAAGTCTTAATACAAAGATAAGATAAAAATCCCCATCAGCAAAAGATATTTTAAAATCTTCGACGAGAAGTTTATTATCCGGTCTTTGAGGATTAGTTTTGAAATCCAACTCCCTTTATGATGCGACCAGGGAGTCACTCTATTCACATGAACAATGAGACCTTTTCCGTACACACGGGATCAAAGTCAGTCATCTAATTGAATTGATTAATCTTTTGCACTCGCTTACTCAATCCGTCTGCTTTTTCCGGTTTGTTTGTTATCGGTTATTGCCAAGTGCACCTCGTTGAAACAGTTCATTACATGTATTTCATGTTTGATACACAATGAAGCAAAGTGAATATTTTCTGACAACAAAAGATAATTGAACTTGGTCATTTATTTGATAGAAGAATGAGTTTCACTCAAATATATTTTACTCGAAGTTGACGACATAAGAAATTGGAGAAAAAGTTGCGACTGTGATCCGAAATTCTAGTGAGGCATTTAAGAATAAATTATCACTTGCCCGGATGTTTTCATAGATATCAGAATTTGTGGTATGAGTGCAAATGAGACAGCTCTCCATCCAAGTCCCACTTTGTAAAAGTAAACCATTATAGGTCAAAGTACGGCCTTCAACACGGAGCCTTGGCTCATACCGAACAGCAAGCTATAAAGGGCCCCAAAAATGACCATTCAAACAGGAAAACCAACGGTCTAATCTATATAAAAAACGAGAAACGAGAAACACTTATAAACCACATCAACAAACGACAACCACTGAACATAAGGTTCCTGACTTAGGACAGGTGCAAAAAATTGCAGCGGCTTTGAACGTTTTATCTGGCGCCAACCTTCACCCTAACCTGAGACAGTGGTATAACAATACGACATAAAAGGACACACTATAAAACATGAATTGAAAAACGCTCAACTCACCAAAGTATGAATACTAACAGATTTTAGACAAAAGTTGGACCATGAAAACCAATTTACCAAATAGTTAAATTATAAACCCCAAAAAAATATATCAAAGCCAAAACCAGTATGAAATAATTTTGCCAAACAACCGGTCACTTATGGACCACTCAAAAAGAGCTTGTTGAGAAGGATCTTTAACGTGCAAAGAGCGTGGTACTCTCTGAACACGGGACCTTGGATTTCACGTCCCCATCCGACGGACATAAATGCATGTTTGATTGCCATTATTCTCTTAAAACTGTACATCATTTTTTTTTTCTCGAGATCAGGTTAAGAATATTTTAGTATATACCCTGATGCGTATACGTCAACGTATCTGGTACGATTGGATACGTTTTAAATTGACCGACGTCTATTTGAAATAGTATCAAGAAAAAAATTCAATTGGTTTAAACGTATATAACTCTGAAAACGCGATTATTTATCTGTTTCAGTAGAACGTTTTGCATTAAACAGGTCTTTTTTGAAATTTTAATATATTGGTATAATAAATTAGTGGCACAGATATAATTGATACCTTTCAAATCATTGGTAATTTATAAACTATCCGCAAAGACCCAAAGACCCAAAGACAAAGACGGGAGCAGTAGAAACCATCGACTGTTGAGTACACGAAATCATCCCAGTTATTAGCTGGTTCCGTTTTGCTTAAAAAAATTAAGCTATTTTGAAACGTTTTTTGCCATTTTGCCGTTCTTCTGATACAATGTAGCTAAGCAAATTGATAAATCCTTTGTGATCCCTAAATGTATCAATGGTTCAATATGTTTTATTTCTGGTATTTTATGTTAATATATGATTATATATTCATGTATTGGAACCTCTTGAACTTACATATATGATTCCATGTTCACAATGATATGAAGTAGTTATTGTTATATGATGCCATTCTCTAATAGGCGAAAACTAAAATATCAAAATTATTATATGCATATATGTAGATTAAGCAATTAAACGAGATAAACACTTAACGACAAAAATAAGATATTTACAAAGCTTTTATAAAGCATATATGCATTGCTAATGTTTTCATTGCTTTATTTTCATTGCTTGTTTGGAAATAGATATACATTATCCACACCTTATTGTGAAAGGCAGAAACAAAACATACAACAGGGTATAATGTTGCCTATTTTTTTTCGGAATTATTCAAACTTCGCTGTTGAATGTGCCTTCTATATGATTCGAGCTCCACTGACAAGACTCGTGCATACGAAATGCTTGGCATAAAGTATCATTGACATATCAATTTATGTTCTAAACATTAACAATGCATTTAAAAATGTCCATAAAAATCGTATATACATTATACATCTTGCAAGACCATGAATCGACATCATTTTCTTCCTGCAGGTTTTAGAACAAGAGTATTGGATATAAAATTCATAGCTAACTGTAAAGGAATCATCAGAGGAATATTGAATGAGATCTATAATGACATTCTTGCAAATTATATTACGTTACAGTCTCATTTATGTTGCTATGTGTTTTAGTTTTAAAAATAATTGGGCGACATTCTATTTGGATATTAATTCAACCTTAAATAAAATTGGCAAACAGGTTTCACTGACCTGGGAAGTAAATCATCATTCGTCTGAATTTAATCTCGGTAGTAACAATTCAAAAATTGTTTGTGGAAGCAACGGAAGTATAAAAATAGAATTAACATTAACAATTGCAGTCAGGAAACAACAAAACGGAAGTCTTATTTGTTTAAATCATCTTAATAAACAAATTCGACAAGAACAGGAGTGCCAACAATTCAAGCCGCAACCATCACTTGCTGGTTTTGTCACCCAGTTTCCATTAAATTGGATGTTTGATGTATACCAAGGGGATCAGATAGAGGTTACAGTAGTTGGTAAATCGTTGATAAAGAGAGTCAAATCTTGGAATAGACTGTTATTGTATTATTTGTAGCCTAAATAAACGATATTAAAGAAGGCTTGGAAACATTTTCGATGACTCAATATTCCAACACAAGTTAAGAGCAACGATCAAAGAGGGCAGCTTTACATTTAGTTTTACGTTGTTTGCTTATAAATGTTTTCAAATGTGTTCAGCAATAAAATTAGAAGAACTAAATTGATAACGTTAGCTGTATTTGACAAAACCTTTCGATATTGTTGGTCCCCAATGGTCTTCAACTTCGTACTTTATTTGGCATGTTAACTGTATTTTTTTCAAGCAGCATTTGTGAGTCTTTTGTAGACGACACTCACGTCTTGTCTTCACTATCATAAGCCTGGTACTTTTAATGAGTTTGTTTTTGTGTGCATAAAATCTGTATTTCTTCATGTTTGGTGTTGTCAGCTTCTTTTCGAATAAAGAATTTGGAATGACCCTTTGGAATCTTCCGACTCCTTTAACTGCAGCAAAAATTTGCTAAACCTATCACTTGTATGACAGTCGCATATAATTTCATTATATTGAATATAAGTGTGCAGTATGAATCTAACCATCCACGGCTTAGCTACAGGTCTTCATAAAAAGTAAAATCACAAAAATACTGAACTCCGAGGAAAATTCAAAAAGGAAAGTCCCAAATCAAATGGCAAAATCAAAAGTTCAAACACATCATAATTTTTTCTATTATCCCTCCATATGTTATAGAATCTGTTGTTATAGGGGCGATTAATTTCAAATATCTATACAACACGATTCATACTGGAGAATAGTAGATATCTTGCAGTAGATTAAACTTTAAAAAAAAACTTTCAATGAATATGAATATTTCATTAATGTTAGTATTAGTCTAAAACGTACAGAGAAAAGCCAGGGTCAAAATAAATATTGATGATTCAAAACATTATATAATTGCACCTTGAAAAATTCATTGTTGACAGACGCAAACCAAAATATTTAAAAATCGTACGCATAATAATGATCTTATTGAGACTATTGTGCATATTATTCAAACGTGATTTTCAGAGACGTTTGGAAACTTGATTTAACAGTGACACAATAATCAAAAGATAATAAAAAAGGGACGATACCGATGGTGTTATTAAAATGACGAGAAGAGACGACCAAATACAGACAACACATTGGCATCCCCTCCCCCTCCCCCAACAAAAATTAAAAAAACAACACAAAATTATCCAACAAAAACTACACATTGACCAATACACACCACCGTATTTGGCACAGAAAGTGAACGAACAGTGATAAAATTTACAATTCGAAAAGGAGCTTATATGTTTTTGGGTCAAAATGTCGAGACTATGTCGTAAATGCAGTATTCAAATTTAAGCAGTAGCATCTGTTAACAAATATTCATCATAGAACGTCAATGATATACTTTTCATGCAATTTTGCCGATGTACTCAAAATATAAACATGCTTCAAACCAAACATAATAAAGACCAATAGAAGTAACTCAAACTTATTGGTGAATCCAGCATAAGGTTATTTTTGAAATAACTTTTAAATGAAATCAAATTTGAAATTCAACTGTTTAAATAGGACTGGTATCTGGAATATATTACTTATGAACCGATACTTTATACCATATATTACTTATGAACCGATACTTTATACCATATATTACTTATGAACCGATACTTTATACCATATATTTCTAAATTCATGAATAAGTATAGATATTTTGTGTAGATGAGGAAATACAAAACAAGCTGGTCAGTCCGTAAAATCATTTCCTTTAATAATCGGTTGTTTATTCTTGTTGCAAAATTAAATCAACTGAATATTAGTGATGTTCAAATCGCATCAAACGATAAAAACAAATCAAGGTACCAAACAAACAAACACTGAAGAAACAGCACGAACTCCAGAATGAAAACAATCAAGTTCTAATTCGTCTTTTGTTTATAATTGCTGTCAATAACAGAAACAATGAAATATCTACAATTTACCCTCAATTATCAATATCACGAAAAACATTTTGATATAGCATCTACTACCATATTAATACTTAGATCTACTCTTTTGATGTAAACAGATGTCAGTTTAATGCAATTTTATGCCATATATCTCCATCATGCAAAGCTCTGATTTCTTTTTCGGATTTGTCTCTTCTGTCGGTCATGTTGGATTTGATCAGCTCTTCAAAGATTGTATTAGATTTTAGATTTTTAAATAGTTTAGCCTTGAGCATCACCATAATAACACTAATTGTCGAAATACGTATCTGGTGCATTCACATTGGAACCTTTTATCTTATCAAACATCACAGGAAGACACAAACAAACAATAAAGTAAAACATGCGAAATAGCATGTACAACAGGCAGAGTGAATGAGAAATTATCTACTGGTACCCTTTAGCTAGCATTACTATTCATGTGATTCATCAATTTATATTTGGTACCAAGGTTCATGGCTAGGAACATTACCTTACTGATAATAAAAATAGATAATCAAGCGAACCAACACCTTAGGCGGTACAAGCTGGTAGAGTATTCAGGATGGATACATACGAGGTTTGCTGCGGTTGTCGTACTACCTCATGTTGTTGTCTATTAGGACTTACCTTGAATGTATTGGATACCTAGACTTCACAAAATTCCATACAAACAACGGTACATTGCCGGCTCATCTGCATGTTCTACAAAGGAATTGCCCATTAGATTGACCAAAATTCTGTCCACAGTGAAAGAGGGTCTTTAGAAATACTGTGAATTGTTACTCGCGTAGTGGTATTAACCATATGTTGATTCTAAAAAACACTAAATAACCTAAAGATACATGATGGTCTTGAAGTATTGATTCTATGTACTAACGTTGTTTATCATCTTAATTACGTGTTTGTTGTTCTTTTATTTGTCTTTGTAAATTATAAACCTTTACTGTTTAGTCCATTTTTGGTAATATCCGTTTTGCAAGGCTCGGTACTTATGCATCTCGCCATTATGTTGTTGTGCTGTGGTCATTTTTAGTATTCTTGTCTTTCATCTTTTCTTATGTGCTTTGTCTATATGCCATTTTGTTTTTCTTTGTTGACACATTTGTTGGTTTTTATAGTGATTAAGATTATAACACAATGTTGACTGCTGTACCCCTTTTTTTGCCATTTTTACCTATACTGTTTGTTTGTTTTGTTCACACATTGTTGTCAATATAATGGAATTTTATGCGATTGTCATACAAGTGAGAGGTTTAGCTAGCTATAAAACCAGGTTTAATCCACCATTTTCTACATAAGGAATTGCCTGTACCAAGTCAGAAATATGACAGTTTTTTCCATTCGTTTGATTTTGCCATTTGATAAGGGACTTTCCGATTTTAAATTTCCTTGGAGTTCGGTATTTTTGTTATTTTACTTTTTTTTTATATACTTTGGATTACTGATACTTGTTGAACATCATTTTTGTTTTATATGTGACAGGTTTTATTTTTTCATATATCCGATAAGTCGACTTCACGGGTAGTAACCTCGTCATATCGAAAAGCGTTTAGTACAGTGATTTTGTCATAGTTTGGTTAAGATGAACATGGTTGTGTTAAGTGTTTTTGATGACAAACAGTGTCAAAATATAAACATTCGAATAGTTTGTTAAAGGAACTAATGACAAACAATTCAAGCTGGTAAGTATCTTTGTTTATAGCTAATATGTTAGTACATCAAAATTTGTATCATATAGTTATTAATTTGACACAGAATAATGCTTGCGTATGTCAAAATTTAAAAGTTGTGATTCGTTTCTAATGAATAAAGAAAAGTGGTTTACTTACTGTCTGCTACATCACATATTTTGTTATGATATAAAACTGCCGTCAATTTTCCCGAAAAACAGCTCCTAGTGCACACAATTTGAGATTACAGAATATTCGGTGTCATGGTTTGGTTCATTCGTGTCATGGTTTATTTCATGTTGAACATGGTTCAGTAATGTGATTCTATTCGTGAATGAAGGAAGAGTAACTATCAAAATAAACAGACATTATATATATTGAAATACTCTTTTTTAAATTGTTTTATTTGGAATACAAAAGGGCATATATACGCACATTCAATATAGTATTATATATATTAAGTACATGCGGTCTGATTGCCAATGAGATAGCTATCCACCCGAGACCAAAATGACGTAGATGTAAGCAACTATATGTCGTCGTACGGCCTTCAACAATGACCAAAATCCATACCTTTTAGCAAGCTATAAAAGGCTCCGACAAAATTATATGTAAAAAAAAATTTAAATGAGAAAACCAATGTATGATACAATATTACAAAAACATAATCATTTTTATTCGTTCGTAATAATAATTGATAAAAGTGCACATTAAATCGGCTTCATTCTAATTTAGAATTGTGATTTTTCATATATATAAATTCTGAACTTGTGTGTATTTTTTTTTTATTTTAATTTTACTAATAGTTTTACAAATTTTACAAGTGATGCCGCGCACGATATCATCAACAGAGTCAATCTTGGACATACGGAAAAAATTATCTATATCAAACAGAAGCAGCGCTTTCTGTTTTTGTAATTATTATCTCAAAAGTTAGTTTAAAAGAGCAGTGACTATTTGAATTATAAAAGCAAAATAACAAAAATACGGGACTTTGCAGAAAATTCTAAACGGAAAGAACCTAATCAAATGGCAAAACCAAAAACTGAAACGCATCAAACGAATGGATAACAACTGTCATATTCCTGACTTGGTACATACATTTTTTTCTGTAGAAAATGGTGGATTAAACCTGGTTTTATAGACAGCTTAACCTCTCACTTGTATGACAGTCGCATAAAATTCCATTATATATTGACGACGATGTGTGAACAAAACAAACAGACATAATAGGTAAAAATGTCAAAACATAAGGGTACAGCAGGCCAAATTGTGTTATAATCTTAGTCACTATAAAAACAAAACAAATATTTCAACAAAGAAAAACAAAAAAGCATATAGTCAAAGCACATAAGCAAAAACGAAAGACAAGAATACAAAAATTTACCATAGCACAATAACACAATGACGGGATGTATAAGTACCGAGCCACGTCAAATGGATTGGGCCAAAAATAGACTAAACAGTTAAAGTAATAATTTACAAAGACACATAAAGGAGTACCATAACACGTCATTAAGGTGACAAACAACGTCAGTACTAAGAATGTTTACTTAAAGGCCATCGTTTAACATTTGTGAAGTAGAAAAGGAATATTTACCCACAAGGTCTTCCGATGAACTTTTTTGATAAAAGGACGAGACGTTCTTTGACATACCACTGGTTCGTCAACTTTCTGCTCAGACACAGGTGACGGTTTACAAAGTCTGAGTAGCATCTGCAAGCTCTTGAATATCGAATGAGTTGGGAAATGTATATTCCATATGCAGGAGAAGTTGGTATATTGCTATATATATATATTAATGATGGAGAAA